TTACTAAATAGTGGAGAGGAAGAAGGTTCCCAGAGTGCTGGCACTCAATATTGAAGACAGCCCTTGGCTGATCTTAAGGTACCAGCTACCAAATTGGTATCATTGCTAACCAATAGGGTTGTTGGAGAGCTGTTTTATAAACTAGACATAAACTACCCAAGAGCAAGGATCTTGTTTGGTTTCTTGTTGTATTTGTAGGGCCCGGTACAGAGCTTAGCACATAATACATGGTAAGTAAATATGAATTAAACAAATGAATTTGAAATTACAACAAAGAGACTTTATTTGAACAATCTTAACCCTTTGCACTCGCTTGCTTTTTTTCTCGATTTCTTTATTCTACTCGGGATTTAATTTTTTAAATACCCCAGATTTTACGAAGCGCGGCGGTAGAATAAAAAACTGGAGTTTCTTTTCATACAAACTTATTTATTTGGATTATTTATATTTCAAATTATTGATACATTCAAGGGTAATTTTAACCTCTATAATTTTTGCTAACCATGTCGAGTCACACTCAACATCTGAGTGCAAAGGGTTAAGAGATAGTTCACACATATTTTCATGGTTCAATGGAAGATTGTTTACTTTGAATATGAAGGGCTGGACCTGTCCTATTAATAATTTAACAGTATTTCTGGAGTTAATATAACTTAACTAAAAACAATCCACATGACTGAAAAACATTAATTAATTGAAAATTAGTTCATCAAGCAACAGCAGCCAGTTACATAGGACTGAAGACATAGTAAAAAATTAATGAATTTTAAAACCACTAAATCTTAACCTTTTACTATAGGTATGTCATGTGAAATCAATTAAACAATATAAATATCTATTGTTTGCCTTGGTAGAAAATATCTAGGTTTACCTTAAAATGAGAAAAAATTTTACCTGATTTCCTAAATATTTCAACTAATATATCAGATTTTGTGTTGAAAACCAAAATTTGCAATGTATATTTATTCTTTTTAAATTGACTTTTTAAAATGTTATGCAATGATAAAATATTTACATTTTTAATTTTTGGGGAAACTCTTATCTGTCTGCGCAGTGAGATAGCAACAGGATTTGTTGCGACAGTAGGTACAGGATGGAGGAAGGGCTGGCGCAAAACCTCTTTGAAAACCTCTGTCAGTAATATCCACTTGCTCTTGCCACAAGTTCGTGAAGATATGTTCTTATATTGCCTCCTAAAAGCTTTATTGCTTTGCTTTCACAGTTAAGTCTACAGTCCATCTGGTATTACTGTTTGTATAGTTTGTAAGGCAGAAATCAACTTCAATTTTTTTTCCTCTTGTGTTCCTAAATGTCCCAGAACAATTTATTGAAAATTTCCTCCTTTCACCCTCAACTCTGAAATGCTACATTTTTCATAAATATGATGACCATAGGATTTATTATCCAAATCGATTAAATTTTGAGAGGAAAAGAGGGCATTGCTAATAATTGCATTAGGAAAAAGGATATACACAGGCTGCCTTAGGCAAACTGAAATGATGGCCCTACCCATCATGAGCCAGGTTCATTTCGTGTGGGGCTGTTTCTAGGCTCTCTGTTCCATTCCAAATCTGACCATCCGTGCACCAGAGCTGCCGTCTCTTATTTCTGCAGGTTTGAATAAGTCTTGATTCAAGTAAGTATGTCCTCTTACCTTCCAGATTGTCCTAGATATTCTTGGCCCTTTACATGGCTATGTAACCATTAGAACCACTTGCCATATTTCGCAGAGAAAAAAACCAAAACAAAACAAAAACCATTGTGTTTTTGATTAGGATTGCATTGATGCTATATTTCAATAGACATATTTAAAATATTGAATCATGACCATGGTATACCTCTCCGTTCATTTTGATCTTCCTCATTTTCTCTCAATGTTTATAGTTTCCTGTACAGAGTCCTGAATAACTTTTGTTGGGTTTATTTCTAGGCACAAGAATATTTTTAATGTTATTATAAACTATATCTTTTTAATTTAAATTGTTGATGTTACCTAAAAATACAAATTAGCTTTGTAAATTGAACTTGTAACCAGAAACCTTATTTAACTTACTTGAATTCTAGTAATTTAGATTTTCTATAAAAATAATCTGAAATATTGTGAGATTTGTTCTTTTCAAATTATTATGTATTTTATTTATTTTTTCTTGAGTTATTGTATTAGCAAGGATCTTCATTAAATTATTAACTGGTAATAACATAGATCCTTGTCTTGTTCTCAAAAATTATAGACCAATTTCCTCCTTTAATTTCCTTCTATTTTTGTTGTTTCATTTTGACGGCATGTTATTGAATACATGCAAATTTAGCATTGCTACATTTTCCTGGTGGGCTGAATCTTTTTATTGTCATGATGTGTCTTTCTCTCTAGACTAGGAAAAGCTACTTTGCCTAATATTAATATAGCTACAACTACTTTTATGGTTACTACTTGCATGGCATACCTTTTTCTATTCTTTTTCTTTCAAACTATCTCTATTTTTTATGTTTTTTATATATTCTCTATAAATACCATATAGTATTGTTTTGATCCACTCCAATTACTTTTGTCTTTTACTGGAACATTTTAGTCAATTTACATTTTAAGGAATTACTTAAATATTTAGAGTTTAATATACCATTTTGCTATTTTTCATGCCTGTTCAACCCATCATTTTCTCTTCTTTCCTTCCTTTAGATTGTGTATTCTTTGCTATTCTTTTTTTCTATTTGGTTTAGTTTAGAAGTTATAAATCCTTTTACTATTCTTCTAGCAGTTACTTTATACTCTTTTGCAACATACATCCTTGACTTATCAAAATCTAATGTAATTGTAATTATACTTTATTCTCTTCCCAGATAATGCAAGGACCTTAGAACTTTTAACTTTCTCTCTCTGACTTCTATGTTATCATTTGTTTTAATTCTATATGTATTTGAAACTCTGCAGACATTATCACTACTATTTTATAGGGTCAGTATTCACTTAAATTTACCACATTTACAAATTTTCTTGCTTTTTTTGTTATAACTTGACATTTCTTGTGCATAAAGAAAATGCTTTAGAATTTTTTTTAGGGGAAGTCTGCTGATGGTAAACTCTCAGTTTTTATTTGTCTGAAAATATCTTGAAGGATATTTTTCCTGGATATGGAATAATTCTAGATTGTTAGGGTTTTTTTGTTTTTTTGTTTTCTCAACAAATGGAAAGAATTATTCTGTGATCCTCTGGATTTCATAGTTTCCATTGAAGGATGTGTTGTCATTGTAACTGGTGTTCTTTTGAAAGCATTTCGTCTTTTTCTTGGTTATTTTTATCTGTTGTTTTTTTAAACGATCTTCTCTTAGTCTTTGGATTTATGTAGTTTCACTAAGATGTATCTAACAATGAATTTCTTTGTTTTTCCTGCTTAGGCTTTGAGCCGTGTTTCTCGACTCTGTGAATTGATGTCTTCCATCAGTTTCAGAGTAAACATTTTGAATGTTAGTTATTCTGTCCCATACTGTTTCTTCTCTTCTCCTATTAAGCATCTTCTTACTACTCCTTTGAGTCTCTTCTCCTCCCTTTTGTATTTTCCATCCTTTTGCCTTTTGGGGGTTTTATTTATTAAGTCTGTCTTTTGGGAGGAATCTATGAATAATTTCTTCAAACTTTAAAATTCACAAATTCTCTCTTTTAGCTTTCTAATTTTCTCTTAAGTCTTATATTTTGAGTTGATTTATTATTGTATTTTTGAGCTATACAATTTCTATTTTTATTTAAATATGCAGTATGTCTTTTTAAAAAGTTTCTAATTATCTGTTAAAATTTTTAAGCTTGTTATCATCTTGATCTTAGAAAACAGTGTTATTTTATAATTTGTGTGTGATGATTCTAATATTTGGAGCCCCCAGGACTGCTGTTTCTGTTATTTATTGTTTGTGCTGGTTTTAGTTTATGTTGTCATGGCTCCTCAACCATTATATTTGAGTATGTGCTGGGTATTGTATTTAAAAGCTTATTTTAAACATAATTTGAGGTTTATGGGTAATTTTTCCCCAGAGATGTTTTTTGTTTGCTCTGCAATGTACGTGTGGGTAGCAGCAAACCAGGATGGATGTAATCCAATTCCAGAAATGACATTTCTGGGCTGTCCAGTGACTCATAGTAGAGCTACATTCTGAGATGGCTCACTCATGCTCTTAGAGTACCAAACAAAAGCAGAGGAAGTATGATATAATAGGGCCCCCACTCTTGACAGATCCAAATTGTTTGTCTACCTAGCCTGCAAGATTGTCAAAATCCATGCTTCACTTCTTGTTTCCCTATTCTGGACTGGGAAATGCCCCTGGGGCAGCAGTGGCCCCCAATTTCCAGATTCACCTCTCTAGATTTCCAATTTCTTCTGGATCTTGAGCCAGTAATTCTTCATGATCATGTTAGCCCTCCCATGCATTTGGGCTAATGTTTATTTTGATTTTTCATTTGTTTTCAGAGGCCTGAGTTAACTAGTTCACCATTATATAAATTAGATGCTTTCACATAAAATATGAACTGGATTCTAGTCTCTGTTCTGCAACTTACCAGTCATTTTGACTGTCAAGTTTGTTTATAGGCTATGAGCCTGTTCCCTCATATATAATTTGAGCAGCATCCCTTGGGTTCCTGAAAATCAATTTCTCCATACATGATTGCCTCTAAATTGCACAGTGGATTTTAGGATGAGGAGCAAAGAGAACAGTTACAGAAGGCAGTAACTACTGCATTTCTTTTTTTCCTGTAGCTAAGAGAATGTGGAATATGGTAGGTGCTAGTAAGAAAGAGAGAGAGAGAGAGAGAGAGAGAGAGAGAGAGAGAGAGAGAGAGAGAGAAAGGAAAGCTTCCAGAAAGACATTTGCAAAAATTTTGTTTTTAATCAGTTTTTAATTTTTTGTTTTTAATCAGTTTTTAATCTTCAGTACCATCAGCACTGTCAGTCCAAGAACCCCCTTTTGTGGTCTTGGCTTTTCTGAGGTCAGGGAGAAACAAGAAGAAGCCTGACTTGCAGAATCTTAGGAAACTTTATTAACTCATGATGCCCACTAGCCCTTGGGAGCAAGAAAATGCAGCATTTCAAGCCCCATTCAAAGAAAGTACATTGGACAAAGTAAAAGAGCCCCCACCCCATCTCCCACCACAGCTTTGCACAAAGCCATCGCATCGCCATGGCAACGTGCATCTATGAAGGAAGTCAAGAGCCTCAATCAAAAACACACAAGAAGATGGTTAACAATAAAATCTTTGCACCTTCCCTTTGCTTAGAAGTTTCTCCCCCTGTAATTTTCTTTTCATAGTCTCCTGGCATATTTTATCATAAGACACCCACTTCTTCACTCCATGCAATCCCATAGGAACTACATATTATATATAAAGGAGAACAAAAAAGGGAATACACATTATGGCCAGGTGGCCCTTTAATTGAAGAGTTTAAAAACTGGAGGACTGTAGTAGAATACTAACCCTGCAGAGCAAAAGGACAAAAACATTGGGCAAGCCAAGTTTGTCTTCATAACCTAGGCCCTTAATTGGGGCAGTCTCCTGTATTTCAATTGAATATCTGTTTTTAATTCTGTCTTCAACAGTCAGAGTGTCAGTCTGTTATGGCTTACCAAAATTCTAGCTGTAAAATAAATGACTATCTTGTCATGTTTTCCCATGGCTATCAGGAGAGTACAGCAATTTCATACATTACTACATTGCCATGAATCTAAACATCTGATTTATTCTTTTTTAAAAAAACTGATGCATTCAAAAGCCATCACTGGGATTTTCCAATGTAAAACAAGAAAACTAGGTACCTGTGCCAAAATTCATGGGTGTAAAAAGCCAATGAGGCCAAACTTACAAAGGAAATTAAAGGTTTGTTTCTGGACAGTAGTTTTATTGGTAAAGATATATGAAAATTATCACCTCCGAAAACTCAGGTAATAAACCTCTAAGCTTGACTTTGGATTGTCACCATCTCTTTCTTCTACGGGGAAGAAAACCTGCCCATGAACAAGACGCTGCTTGAGGGATTGTGCCGAATAAAGAAGAAGAACGGGTGGTCGGCAATGAAATCCTCCTCTGGCGCCAGCATGGCGAAGGTGGCGATGCCTGCGGTGGCAGCCGCCGCCTCTGTGCCCTCTTCACTGACTTCCACAAAGGACTTGTGGATGATTTTTGAGATAAAAATATCTCTGGCTCCTGATATGCCAGAGAGATCAGCTTTGCTACTGTGAAAGAGATCCTGCACACCCAGACGGGCGAGGTCAGAGTTGAGCACGTAGCTGTCTTCCAGTTTGAACCTGGGCAAGCCGACATTGACTTCCATGACACCCAGATTCCCAGATTTGGTCCACTCATGCAGTTTTTCTAAAGTCAGTGCTTCCTCAATCTGGAAATAGAATGAGGAAAAAAGAAGAGGTGAAATCAATTTTATGTAAGTAAAGTAATAAAGCATTATTTAAATGAATGGGCCCATAATATCAGTTGCTAATTAGTTTCTTGCATGCTTTGTGCATAAACAGATTCCATTTGGAGGATTTCATTTCTTTCTGGCAATTGGTGATGCACAATAGGGCTGTGTTCCAAGTCATCAAGGGTCCAAGCACAGGGACTTTGGACACTAAGTACATCATCCATCTACTCACCCATCCATCCAACATGCATCTAACCATCCATCTACTCATCCAGCCCCACACACCCCCATCTACCCATCCATCCATCATCCACCCACCCACCTGCCCACCCATCTACCATCCATCCATCCAGGACTTGCTAAGCTCATACCACAGATTACTGTGACAGGCTATGACAGCTGTTAATACCATAATTGGTTGAGTGGTGGTACTAGGGGAAATTTAAAAGGTTTCTTCTATTTATCCTGAATCCCACCAAAGTTGTGGTAATCCATGAATCTCACTGGAGTTGAGGTAATCACTAATAACTTTAGCTCCTAGGTAAAAACTTAAAAAGTAGATGATACACTGGACCTAGTTTCTCATTTAAAATGCAGATAATAATTGTACCTACCTTATGGCATTGTTGTGAGCATTACATGAGTTGATGTATATTATGTGCTTGGCACATAATGCTGTATAAATGTTACCTATTAATATTATCATTACTATTAATTACTATTATTATTACTATTGCACTGGAATAGAACCATCATTCCAATCATTCTACTAATGCTGAAAATTTCTTTCATGAGGCTAGAGATTGCCACTTTATAATCAGAGAAAAGATTAATGTAAAAATACAACTGAAAGAAAGACCACACTGATTTTAATACATACTCTCTACATGCAAATGACTGCTGTTAGGTCCCCTTCCTGATAGCAAGTTTAGCTGGGGAGGAGGCAGAGGAAAACCACAGAGCAGACTATGGTCACTGAAGGGAAACTGCAATCTTCACAGTTTCCTGGTTCCAAGCCTGGCAAGAGATGCAACAGCCTTTAAATTATATATGATGGAAACTTTATCAGAGTTCATATTAGGAAAAAGGCCTAACTTGTCACATGAGTCCTTTCCTATCACGTACCTATTGGAAATTTAATCCGCCATCTATGTGAGTCATGGCAAGAGGGAACGGTGTGATGACAGGATTTTACAGGACATGATGACGCTGTATACCACAGTGTTTTGGGGTTTTAGGTGATTTTCCTCAGTAAAACAATCCTCATCTGACTGTGCTTTGCTCCAATGTTAGCGCAAGAGCCTTCCCGTGAGCTGCGGGCGGGCTGCGCTCAGCGGGCTCTGCAGGCCCTGGCAGCGCCCGCCGGAGCAGCGGCAGCTTCCTCAGAGCGTGGCCGCGGGGCCTCAGAGCAGTCACGGTGATGGGCGCATTTACAGAGGGACGGCAAAGGGTTGGAAAGGAAGGCCAGGCACACCAGTGCAGGCACAGCAAGCACACAGCGCGCCACACACACGGGAAGACTCAATCCATGGAAGGAGCCGGTACCTTCTTCAGCCCCGTGGACCCGTCCTCGATGTCCTTGGGCAGCAGCACGAGCATGCTGAGCTCCTTGCCTTGGTAGGGCAGCTCCAGCACTCGGCACCGGAGGTCCTCGATGTAGCCATATGGAAACTTTTTCTTCTGATACATCATTTTCACTGTTTTTGTGTCTTTCTGAACAGGTTGGAAAAAAAATCACTGAAATTATTCTTTCCATTCTTCAAGAGCAAAGAGTGATTTAGGACCTCACCTCACCTTATTCAGTCTGAATGGTGCATCTTCCGTGGCCTCTTTCATGAATTTCTCCTGCCAGTTTCCCTTGAAATAGATGGCATTCACTAGCACAAGTTTAGTCATGTCATCAACCACACCTGCAGCCAACAGTTCCGGAATTTTCCCTAAAAAATACAGTAAATTTTTTTTTAAAATCCATATTGGAATTCCAAATTTGAACTGACAATTTATTAGCACTGAAATGCAATTCAAACGTTTACTCTCTATGTCATTTTCATTTAACACAATGTTAAGTTAGGGGAGCCCTGGGAGCGGCCGCCGCCCGCGCAGGCCAGATCAGGTGTGGAGAGTAAGAGGCGGGTGGGACTGAGGACAAGGAGAGGCAGGAGCCACGGAGTCTGCGCCAGTCTCTTACCTTCTGTCTGCCCTTTGACCCACTGGTTTATGGTTTGCCTCGCATCTTCAGAGGCGTGCTGAAAGTCCACACCGGCCAGTTCCGCACCATACATTTTCTGAGTCGAAGCCAAGAACTCCTATTTTTTTTAAAAAATGTCATGAATAACTCCTACCACACACAGAAATGGTTTTCTAAAATCCCTAAAAGCAACAGAAATCATCCTAAATTAAGGTTACATTTCACTGTAACACAAAAATCCCAACCTTTATATCTTTATTTATTGTGGTAAAAAAACACTTAGCATTAAATTTACTATCTTAACTAATTAAAAAAAATTCTTTTAACCTCTACTTTCAGTGAGCCAGTATCTTAACTAGTTTTAAGTGTGCATTTCAGCAGAGGTAAATCTAACCCTCATACTTAGGTGTTATATAAAATTTCCCAATCCTTTTCTAACCTGTGACTAACATTTTCATAAAGTCAGCAAATACTGATTGTACTTGGAAGTGAATCCTGGGATCCACTCTTTTTTTGGAAAACCTCCCAAAGCAATCTTTTCAGTGCAAAGACTGGAAAACAACCCCCACAGCCATCCACGGGAACTGTCTGTCATACGCTTGCACTTGGCATTGCTGTGCAGAACATCTGCAGCTACCCAAACCGGCTCCTGTGACACGGTGATACTATAAGATGCCTGCACTGTCGAGTGGAGTTTTAGAATACAAAGTGCAAAGTACTTACAGGGAGGAAATTATAGGTTTTCTCTCCATATAATCTATTAGCAAGTTTCAGAATATAGGACGCTCCACGTTTGTTGATATCAGCATGCAGACTCTGAAATCTTGAATGAATCTCCTCAACCGAATCGAAATGAAAAGCCTAAAATAAAGAAAACATTCATTCTGCAACCATTATTTTGAAAGTATAAAGTTGGTTTGCATATCAAATTAAATTAATGTATTTTCATTAGCAATTGCCAGTGATTTCCAGCCCAATAGTTTATTAATTCATCACTGGAGAACACACTATAGAGAACCCAAAATTTATAGCTTTGTTAGACATAACAGTTACCACATTAGAAACTGCTTTGACATCCTTACTTTTTTGTTAGAATTATAGTCCCACAAACTTGAGTAGTTAATACACTAAATATTTATGTCTGTTACTCTGTTAGCATCAGGAACTCACTTGTTTAAAAATAACTTCTTTAAAATAACACTCTGGAAAAGCTTAATTTCCCAACAATGGCCCTTTATGGTTTTATGAGGCCTGGACTCCTTCCTTGTTATTAAGACACAAAGAACAAAACTGCACAGAATACAAAGTCCAGGTTGCTCACTGAGATATGGAATGTTACATTATAACTAACAAACATCCATCTGCTTTAAAGGAAAAGGGGGAAGGGCAAGCCTTAAAACTATTCTTTACTGACATTATAAAGTCCCCGGACAGTTTGAGAGGAGGAGCTGATATAATCTTGCAAGAAGCAACTAACAATTAGTATCAGTGGTTTTAAAAAAAGCGGATTTTTAAAAACCTTAAAATGCTTTCATATGCGCAGTGATGAGTAGTGGAAGCTTTGTAGCCTCTTGAACTTGAATCTACAGCTGCATTTTCCCAGGGAACATATGCAGTGTCATTTGTGGCAGGTGTGTTAGAAGCATCTCCACTTTACCACTGTTTTCCCCTGGGCTTCAAGAGAAAGCTAGAGTTCCCCTTCAGAATTAAAGAGCACCAAGCACAGAGGTCCTCTCCATGCCCATTAAGGATGGGAGGGAAGGCTGGGTATGAAAGTACCTGCCACGTGGCCACGGGCTGGGTCCTTCCGAAGCTGCTGAGCCTCCCTGCACCCCTCCCCTGCAGGGCCCACCTGCCCACATAGACAGCCACACCAGACCCCATGGAGCCACACACAGTGCCAGGCGTAGGGTCAGGCCCTGGGAATACAGAACCACAGGGTGGCCTTCTTCCTTGTCTCTGGAAAAGGCAATGCCACCAACGTCTCCACTGTAGTGTGTACCCTATGTCTCAATACTCTTACTATGCTCAAAGACAACACTACAAAACAGGCATTATTTATGAGTCACAGATCATTACGTGAAAAGCAAAAACCAGAAACTACTAGCTCAGGAGAAGGTTCTGTGGCTTACGGAAAAGCTGTCAGATTCATCCACTGTGTGGCTTTGTTCGCTGCTGTATCCTCAGCAAAACAAAAAACAGTACCTGGCACATAGCAGGTGCTCAGGAAGGACCCGACAATGAATGAAAGCCTACACGAAAATCCATCATTCTTGGGATTTTCCTGAAAGTCTGACCTTAGAATGTATTAGTAGGGACATGGCAGGGGAAGCAGATCTTTCCTGTTTGTTTCTGCTGACCTTGGACAGTTGTGCTGCGGTGTTACCTCTGGTCCCCAGAAGGATCATGGCCATCGCGGATGAAATGCTGAAGGGAGAGATGAAGATGTTTCCAGTCGGATTGTTTTCATTCAAGGCGCGGAACAGGTCCAAGGCGAAGCGGGTGTTTGCTGCGCTCAGCTGCTCCATGGTGAAGGCTGCCACACAGAACAGAGTCCCAGGCTGCCCACTGCCCCACCAGGAAACGACGGCCGCACACTTCCCCAGCTGCCTCAACCTGTGCCAGCCACTCGTGAACACCCTGGTACTTGTACTTTCTCCCCTCTTTTTTTTTTCCAGGAGGTTCCAGGAGAACACTTTCCTACCCACACAGTGTGGGACCAAGCTGGCCAGTGATTTAGCAGGAACACAAGAACAGAACGCAGGGTGTCTTAAAGGCTCTGACCTTGCAGACAGGTGGGGTGAGAGGAGGCCCAGACCCAGGGATGGTGGCAGTGGCACAGGAGCCCAGCCCTGGGTCCTTCCGCCGAACTCAGTCTGCCAGCGTGCACGTTTCTGACCCTTTGGCTCAAGGGTTCATTGGACAGTGAATCCACTGCCTACATTTACCTGAAACATTTCTATCAGATCATAGCTACCTATGCATTAAGGCAAACTCCAGCAAAGACATACTTGATAATATAATTATCCTCATTTTTGAGATTCAGTCTCTAATGTTTAAGAGGTCAAGTGTCCAAGGTCTCAGAGGTGGCTTAGGGTGTGCCAGTCTGGAAACCCAGCACCGTCCGGCACGGGAAAGCCAGCCCGGCGGGGAGATGGGGACAAGCGTGCTGTCCTGGGAACCCCAGCCTGGCCTCCCCTAGCCCGTCTTGATCCCTACTCTCAGAGCCCTCGTTTCCCCACGAGCAGGCACCAGAAGGGTAGTCGTGCTGGCTGCTCGGCGAGCAGGCAAAAGCCGAATTCTTGCGGTTGTTCAGCCGTCTCTGGGACGGCGCCGGCCTCGCCCCCGCGCGCCCGCCGCGACGGGGAGCGCCGCCTGGACACCGCCCGAGGGACTCAGCAGGAAGGACAAGCGTCCTGCCCTCGAGCTTCGGTCCTCCTCCCGCCCTAGCAGGGCTGGCCTCGCGCCCGGCCGCGGCTGGCGGGACCCACGGGCGCGGCCCGGCCTCTCCCCTCCCGCCGCCCCGCTGCCGGCCGCCCGGCTCACCGGCTCACCGCGGGGCAGGCGCGCTGCGGCTCGGGCTGCCGGAGGTCTGCGCGCAGCGCCCGCGCCGCGGCCCTAAAGTGCGGAAGGGCGGGGCGGAGCCGGCGGGGAGGAGCGGGAGGAGCGGGTGGGGAGGAGCGGGCGGGGAGGAGCGGGAGGAGCGGGCGGGGCGGAGCCGGCGGGGAGGAGCGGGCGGAGCCGGCGGGGAGGAGCCGGCGGGGAGGAGCGGGCGGGGAGGAGCGGGCGGAGCGGGCGGGGAGGAGCAGGAAGAGCGGGCAGGGAGGAGCGGGCGGAGCGGGCGGGGAGGAGCAGGCGGAGCGGGCGGGGAGGAGCGGGAAGAGCAGGCGGGGAGGAGCGGGCGGGGAGGAGCGGGAAGAGCGGGCGGGGAGGAGCGGGCGGGGAGGAGCGGGCGGGGAGAGCGGCGGGAGGAGCCGGCGGGGAGGAGCGCGGAGGGCGGCGGGAGGCCGTCGGGGAGGACGGGCGGCGGAGCCGGCGGGAGAGCCGGAGGGCGGGAGGCGGCGGCGGAGCCGGCGGGAGCGCGGCGGCGAGAGCGGGAGGAGCGGCGGGAGAGCAGGAAGAAGCGGGCGGGAGGAGCGGGCGGAGCGGCGGAAAGCGGGCGACGCGGCGGGAGGAGCGGAGGAGCGGCGGCGAGCCGGCGGGAGGAGCGGGAGGCGGGAGAGCCGGCGCGAGAGCCGGATGGCTGGGGAGGAGCGCGGAGCGGCGGGAGGAAGCGGAGCGGGGCGGGAGGGCCGGGATGCTGGAGGAGCGAGCGGCGGGGAGGAGCCGGGAGGGCGGGGAGGAGCCGGCGGAGCGGGCGGGGAGGAGCCGGCGGGGAGGAGCGGGAGGAGTCTCAGCCTTTCCTGGAGTCTCTGGCAAGGACCTGGTGACTATATTTTACTAAGGCGTGAATGACTGGCCGAATGAGATGACACATTGTGTCATGGTCTTAGAAGGCAACCGATTCTCCTGTTTGTTTGCTTGTTCGTTTTGTTTGAGAAGGGGTTTCGGTGCACTGCCCTGGCTGGACTCCAACTCCTGGGCTCAAGTGATGCTCCTCCGCAGCTCTCTGGAGTAGCTGGGACTACAAGTTGTCTCACGCTCGCTTAGTTCCCTCTTGAGTCCCATCTACATGTTCAAACTCTAGGGAGCTTCTTTTTGCAAGGGAAGGAAGAAATTTGAGGCTCTTGCATATGGAAAAAAGGGGCCTCCAGGATAAGATAAAATGATCAGTTCCAAACACCTGGGCTCCACTTCCACGATGGCATCTTGCTGCTGCTGCTGCTGCTACTGCTTCAGTGCGAAGCCTCTTTCATTAATATAAGTCTCCCCCCCTTCTCCAGGGAGCTGCCCTCTTGGCCCCAAGGCCCCACCTGTTAATACTCTTGCATTGGTGATTATCTCAACCTGAACTTTGGAGGGGGCACAAACATTCAGATGATAGAATTCTGCCCCCCCCCATATATCCTTCTTACATACAAAATACATGCATTCCATCCCTTTAGCCCCAAGAGTCTTAACTAGTTCTGGCATCAACTGCAAAGCCTAGGTCCAAAGTGTCACCTAAATATCATCTAAATCGGACATGGGTGAGACTCAAAGTAAGATTCATCCTGAGCCAAATTCTTGTCCAGCCGAGAGGCTGTAAACTCACACATGTACGTGCTTCCAAAATACAGTGGTGGGACAGGCATAGCACGGGCATCCCCATTCTAAAAGGAGAAATAGGAAAGAAGAAAGGAGTAACAGGTCCCAAGTAAGTCCCAAACCCAACAGGCAAGCCACATTAAATTTTGAAGCTTGAGAATATCTTATTTGATGTCATGTCCCACCTTCTGGACACACTGGGGTGAGGGATCCAGGCCCCCACCCGTGGATCCGGCAGGCACAGTGCAAGCCAAAGCTCTCACAGGCTGGAGTCTGGTGTCTGCAGCTCTCCCACACTGGCCGACATGTTGGTGTCTCTATGGTTCTGGGGTCTTAGGGGCCGTCCTGCCCCACAGCTCCACTAGACATGACCCTAGTGAGGACTCTCTGCAGTGGTCCTGTTCCCACGGCTGCACTGGGCATTGCCCCAGTGGGGGCTCTCTGTAGTGGCCCCGCCCCAGCCCTGTTGCAGTTCTCTGTCTGAGATGCTGTTTGAAAGGTAGGTGGAGGGAGCCTGGCCTCCACAGCTCATGCACTCTGTGTCTGCAGAGTAGTGTCACATGGGCGCTGCCAAGGTTTATGGGAAGGCAGCCGGAGCCACACAAGGGCCTGCGTAAGCCACACCTGGGATGGCCAAGGAGCGCTGCACTGGCATGTGGGAGCAGAGACTTGAGGTGGCCCTGGGCAGCAAGCCCCAAACTTCCATGGTGCCCCAAGTTCTGCCCTCGAGGGCTTGACAGTCTTGCTCTGCCATGAGAGTGGCAGCCCCAGGGATCCCTGACATGCCTCCAGGGCCATTCTTCTAGTCCGATGAACAGCATTGCTTCCTTCTATCCACACTAGTCTCTTCACCAAGCCTTAGCTCGGCCACACCTTTGGTGGTCTTTCCCAAAGGCACCTTTTCTTTCCTTACATGGCCAGACTGAGAACCTCCTAAATCTTTGAAGTTCTGCTTTCCTTTTAATTACAAATTCCTTCTTTAATTCATTCTCTCTTCCCACATTTTACTATAACCAGTCAAGAAAAGTCAGGCTGCACCCTCGACACTGTTCAGAGATTTCTTCCACCAAATATCCTGGTTCATTGCTCTCAAGTTCTTCCATTCACAAAGCACTAGGACACAGACACAACGCAGCCAAGCTCTTTGCCATTTTATAACAAGGATGGCCTTCCCGAGGTTTCCAGCACCTTGTTCTTTTCCATCCATGATCTTATCAGAATTGTCTTTATTACCATCTGTATTTCTACCCATATTCTGATCGTGACCACTTAGGTAATCTCTAAGGACACTTAGGGTCTCTCTACAGCTCTCCTCATCTTCCGGGCCCTCACCAGAATTGCCCTAATGCTCCATTCATAGCTAGCGAGGCTTCTTCTAGCATCGTCCTCTGAACTCCTCGGCCACTACCTAGCACCCCGTTCCAAAGCTGCTTCCACGTATCTAAGAATTTGTTATAGCAACACCCCATTTCTCAGTACCAATTTTTGTCATGGTCCATTTGTATTGCTATAACTGCATACCTGAGCTTGAGTAATTTACAACACACACGGTGATTGCTCACAGTCTGGAGGCTGGGAAGGGCAAGGAGAAGGTGCTGACCGACTCGCCGTCTGGCAAGGGCTGATCTGCGTCTGAAGGAGACAGACACTGTGTCTCACGCGGTGGAAGGGACGGAAAGGAACAAGCCCACTCCCTCAAGTCCTTCTATAAGTTACAAGGTCCCTAATCCCACCCACGAGGGCTCTGTCCTCGTGATTTAATCACTTTTTAAAGGCTCTACCTCTTAATACTATCACACTGGTGCTAGAGTGTCAACATATGAGTTTGGAGGGGACACAGTCAGAGCGTGGCGCATCTGCTGCCATGTGAGGACACAGCGCTTGTGCCTTCTGCCTTTTCCACCACATGAGGGCGCCACAGGAAGACGCCCTCACCAGACACTGGCTGTGATGGTGCGGGCTCCGCCACTGATCGTGGACTTCCCAGCCCCAGAACTGTGAGAAATGAGTGTCTACAATCTATAAGCTATTTTGTTACAGAAGCAGGAACAGACAAAGACAGGGGCTCTTCTCGAGAAGACTTTGTCTTTATCCCTCTTGCATGGGGGGCTGTGTAGACACTACCACATTCCCTCCCCGTCTTGTCCTGCAGTAATGAGAGGCCTCAGTCCTCTAAGCGTTTTCCTTATTCTCTTCCGTCTTAAATTATTCCTGAATTATTCCTCCTGCTGCCACTCCTGAAAGTAGAAGTGATATTTACTCTTAGACTTAACCTTGATCTTCAAACAAGCTGCTACTGATCACCTACAAACTTACAAACATCTTGAGAGTATTTTTTCTTCATTTTTAAATGTAGCTTTGAATTACCTTGTTTTCTCATTCAGTTTAAGAAACTGCTATTCAGTGAATTATGACATTTTTAATCAACTTGGAGCTTGGTGGAATTATAAGTCTCATAATAGTGTTTTGTAAATATGTTAAATGTGATTCTTTTTTTTTTTTTTTTTTTTTTTGAGACAGAGTCTCACTTTGTTGCCTGGGCTAGAGTGCCGTGGTGTCAGCCTAGCTCACAGCAACCTCAAACTCCTGGGCTCAAGCGATCCTCCTGCCTCAGCCTCCCAAGTAGCTGGGACTACAGGCATGTGTCACCATCCCCAGCTAATTTTTTCTATATATTTTTAGTTGTCCAACTAATTTCTTTCTACTTTTAGTACAGACGGGGTCTCGCTCTTGCTCAGGCTGAAATACAAAAATAATTGTTATTTACCTAAGTAATTGTTAAATTTTTTTAATAACTAATTTTTAACTTGTTAAAACAACTAGAAAAAAAAAATAAATAAAACAACTAGAAAAATAATGCAAAATCATACTATAGATACTATTTTCCTATAATAGTCTGAGGATTTGGGGTGAGACTAATTTCATGACAATAAATAATTTAGGACCCTGGGCTGAGATTGTAACTAACAAGACATCTCCTAGGAAAGTGTAAAATCATTTACATTTTCTATCTTGGACAGCTTAAGTGATTGAAATCACAGAAATGGAGTGTTTCTTTTTGTCCTTTTATTTTTCTGCCAAATGGAACAAACCTCACATTAAAATTTCAGCCGTGCAACATAGCTTTACCCTCCAGAGGGCAGAATTTCATTACTCATACAATAAGAATCCCCGACTTCTGCAGAGATATGTAAATGCCAGGACATGCATGTAATTTTTCCTCTTCAATCAAGCTCAATTCCCCCTACTAGGGCAGCTGAAATTTCTGTAATTTAATTTTCTCCTGCAGATACGTTCCTTGGTGTTTTCCTCTGCCCTCGCCTCCTCCGTTCCCCCTCGTTTCATAGGCTTTCTTTCAGTATCTCACACCGGAAGGCTTACTTCCTTTAGGGTTTTAGTCCTGCCGTGGCCTCTTCCTGGAGGACTAACCCCTTCTTCTAATTCTAGTCTTTGCTCAATGCTGCCTC